GTAACATGAAACTACATTCATTTATCCTATGTAACTCTAAGTTCATAACATTATCCATCTATTTATAATTAAATTTTATTGTTTTATTGCCCTTTGAACCATGTCTAACTGCTATCCACACCATTATAAGTTGTGAATTACTCAGGGAAAGTCCAGCTCACATTACACTAACGAAATACATTACTCACGAGCTACTACGAGCTGCTCATGTGTGTGCCTCATGAAACATTTTTATTATAATATTATAATTATATATTTTACCTAATCTAACCTTAACTAACCTAAAAAGATCCCTATTTTAACATTTTAGTTACTTTAAACTAAAAATAAAATTTTAAAATAAAACACTTAACCAATCTTCTTTTTTTCTTGCTGTCGTCTGTTGAAGAGATTTAACCCTAATTTTTCATAGTAATGATAGTAATGCACTTATTTTCTATTTAATTAAATAATGCACCAAAGAATATAGACTAATAACATGCAAATAGCAGACAAATTCCCTTACCTCTAAAACTTTTTCTGGGTTCCTAACTATGGGACAAGAGTTGTTACAATTCATCCAAGATAGTTGTTAACTTTCTCACAGGAACGATGTTGGTACTGTGAGTGAAACTGACATTGAACCCTTCAGAACATAATGTTATACAATACATCATTTGATAGATGAAAACCTTGACTTTCTATTGGTTATAGTTAATATATAATGAAATGTAAGATAGAACTATCAATGAATCGTGAAATAGAGGATGTGACAGATAGGGGTGGCAAGATGGGTCTGATTTTCTAATCAATAGCTCTGTAACCAAACAAAATTGAAGACTATAAAAATTATAGTTTGTCTGAGCAATGATGATTTTCTAGAGAGTAATTTATCTTTAATTTTGTACTTTTTCGAGGGGTGGTGGATAAAATAGGGAAGATGACATGCTAAGAGAAAATATGTCACGTGTGTCACACTAGGAGAAATTCAGGTTGTGTTTTTTAATATTGTCTTGTAGAATGAAGAACTTAAAATTTATATACTATGAAAATATGGATTTTTGGCTAAGATTTTATGCTATTCTAATTGGTATAACTTAAACAAAAAGTAGTTTAATAAAACTTTGAATGTAAGACACTAAAACCTTGTGTAATGTACAGTAAAGGATGCCCGTGGCAATAGGGTTAATCACTTTTTTTTTATATATAAAATTTGGGCAAATGTTTTCCACTTCTGAACAAGTAAAAAAATAATGTGCTTGCCCCTGGGCAAGTAATTTAAAAAAAAAGGTTGCACCCTGTGCATGTATATATTACTTATGTAGTTCTACAGTGCTTTCAAGTATTAATAAGTAAACTGAGTTTATAGTGAATACATCCAGTGTTGAGTACTTAACAATATATATATGTGTGAATATACTAGATATACTTCCGCAAGGTCCCCGAAAGTGTTCTGTTTCAAGAGTAAATAAAACCAAAATTAAGAATAACAAATATTTTTATTTCTTGCTTTTGAAGTTCATATGCCATGCAGAGTACATAATTCTTCTCGTAATTCATGAAATGTGTACATTTTACTGACGTCATAGCAGTACAAATTGCAACATTAAGCATCCCTTATGTGACATCATTTTAGTGCCCACTTACTGACTAACAGACAACACACTACTGGTGTGAGTGGTTAAAACAGGTGACACCTCCCGGCAACCTTCAGCCCCTTTCAGGGAAATGACTAATGTAGTACTGCAGTATTTTCAAATATTAATAATTAGACTGATATTAAATATGTAACTCATTGCCACAAACCAAAAGTTCACTAATTTGAAACAAAAAATCTATTTATGCAGAAAATATACTTTCATCTTAGAACACTCAACTGATTCAAATAATGCATTCTTCACTATACTTAAATTGGAAGAAGTCAAGAAATATCAATCAGAACCTAAAATACAATCCAAAACATTTTATAACTTACGTGGTCGAGGAGGAGGTTTTTTCTTCAGATGACCAGCTTTTCCTTTTGGTCTTATAATTGTGGGTTGACTTAAAGGCTGTATTCCATGAGGTTGGGTAAGGTTCTTGTTATGACTCTTTAATTGATGCTTATGTTCCTAGAAAAAAAATAATTGGAAACCTATATTTACAAGTACAAATAATTTATTCTTCTAAAAGCCTAAGTAGGGGTCATAAAGATGTTAAAGTTTTCTATCCAATTCACAGCCTGATGAAAACAATTTTCTAAAATATTACACACAAAATTAAATCAGGTAAAATTTTCTTATGTTGTACTGGTGACTACAAACGTGAATTTGGTACGGACAGATCACTAAAATGAAAGGTGAAAGGGGTGTGTCAAGTAGATATTTTAGAAAATATAAATATAATAATCATAAACAGAAATCGGGATTTTTCTCGATTTACAAACAAAAGTAGGAAACTTGAGCACTATAGATTTAAATGTGCTAAAACAGCAAAAGTTTAATACAATTACAAAGAATAGAATGAACAGATACCCGAGACAAAAGCAGAAGAGACTTCCATAACTGATTTACTCTATTAAGTACCTCCTGCAGAAAATATTATTATTTGTTTTCAAATATTGTAACTAATACAAACAGTTATGGTCATTGGTCAATCAGATAAAACCTGCTTACAAAGAATGCACAAATAAAAACTAGTCCCAGTGCAATACCTACTCACATGCACAAATAATGCTTCTGCAATACAACTTATCATCAGCATACATTTCACCTTTGATCACAAGTTATTGTTTAATTACTATGAGTGCCATAGAAAGATGTCCATTGTTATTTTACAAAAGGTTTGAAGTCATACTGGGAATTATTACACCTTAAAAAATTATGTACCAAGTCCTATTCTACCCCAGGAACTATACTACTATTATCAGTTTAATAACCCTAACTATGCATTATGTAATAAACTTCTGCCAAGTTTAGTGAGGTCAATCTTAGGTCAAACATCTTGACAAGCCTTTTACAGACCCTCTATTAAATGTGCAGATTAGTTTCCAGGACATGTATAAAGAGACCAAAGGCATAAAAAATCCACTGGAACTGCATCAAGCGATTTAACAGATGTATAATTATATAGAATTGCTGTGATTCTAGTTTATTCTGCCATCTTTCTTGTGAAAATGGCCATTGAGTTAGAAGTGTGGCTTGAAACCTATGACGTATGAACTTTTAGTGTTTGAGCCTTCATCAAATTAAAGTTCAAGTGAGTAGTAGCAAGAGGCTTTCTAAGTAAGAGACTTCTCCTTCCTAACCATGGTATTCACTTTTCAAAAGAAGGTATTGTCCTAAACAATCAACTTTGAAATGTTGTGTCCTTAGGCTGTACGTCATTTAACAATATCAATATACAAATATTTTTCTTTGGAAAGGCATTTTATATCTCTTCAGGACTGAACTGAAAAAATTTAAGAAGTACACGTGAACCAAATATAAAGGAGCTAAACCTATCACTCGTGGTGCTACAACCTGCACCTGCAGGAACTGACCATTGTAAGACTTGTATTAAAGTTTTTCTTCATTACCCATTTAAGCCGTCTCCAGCCATTATTAGTCTCAAAGTGGGTTCGTCGTCATCGAACCATTGTAAGAGTTTATACAACTCATTCAAATGAAGTGTTATTAATCCTCTGTTGAATTTTCAGAACATGGAAAGAATGCATGAAATGTTTTTTTAGAGCTATAAATTAGATAATAATAAACTATAACTGTAATAACAAAATTACACTAGGTTGCAACATTTGTTTTTTTTAAGTTCCATAATGAACAAAACATTTCTAGTGTAGCTGTATTTTTGTTTATCAGAAATATAAATTTAACCAACTAATTACACTAGGTTGCAACATTTGTTTTTTTTAAGTTCCATAATGAACAAAACATTTCTAGTGTAGCTGTATTTTTGTTATCAGAAATATAAATTTAACCACTAATTACACTAGGTTGCAACATTTGTTTTTTTAAGTTCC